TGACTTGTGAGGAGCAGTAGCATAGTATGGTTGGCCTAGATGTGGTATAAGGAAGGAAATAGGGTCCCTGTTCAGTTTATCCATCAGTGCTAATTTTCACCATGCCTCCTTTTCAATGCCTCTGGCACTCCTGGCCCAGGACCTGTAGTGTTATAGCACCAGAAGTACATTGATGTACATTATCTAATTAGTAAGTTCATTACAGTGTGCAATTAAATCATTATGAAGCCCACTTATCCAAGGGCATATAGTTAACTAAGCTATCAGCATCTATATAGGCATGATCATGGCAATATTTTAATTTTGGTTAAAATATTTCATTCTCATCTAATCATAAAGTCTGTGCTTGGAGACCGGCATTCAGGTTTGTTTGGGGGTTTCGTCCCTTTTTATCCATCTCTCTAGATTTGTGAAATTAACTTGTCAGTAACATAACCCTAGTAAATTCATTATTAAACCAGTTATACCAGTCTGCACACACTTTTCTAATGTACCTTTGCACCAAAGTGTTTCTCTCAGAGATGGAGAGCAGATTGCCCCCAAAAGCTGACTTACTCAGTGTCCGCCAAATGAGGCAGAAGAGCAGAGTGAAGCAAATGAAGGCCCAGTTCCACTCGTGGTTTTTCCCCACTGTAGACACTCCCATGAACATGAAAATCAGGGTCTCGCTGACGCTGCTCAACATCTTCATGAAATATTTTATTGTAGTATAGGAATTCTGGGAAACATTCTCCTCCACGTATTTTTTCATCGTCACTGCACATGCTGTCATCCTGTACCAGGCAAAACATCAGAGATCAGCCATAACCTGTTTTTCTTTTCATTTAAGAACAAACCCAGCCTTCATTACCTGCACGATCCTTCACCAGCCTCTAACCTTCCTAATATCAGGAGGAATTTTACTTCTTCAGTAACGTTAGCTATTTTGTTAGATGGAAGAGCATCTTTATTCAGCTTTACAAATCCATTTTACATACAGGAAAAAGGAAGCAAACTAGTTGTCCTTCCTGAGGATGAAGTCAGGGTATCACGTTCCAGTTCAAAGTCCATTTTATCCTGCATGCCTAACGTACAGCCACCAAGCACCAAATATTTGAGTCTCAAACAAAGGGCGAGTCGGTTTTGTACCAACCTACGGACGGGTCAGTTAGAGGGATATAACCTGCTTCTTAATGATCTTCTCCTTTGAGGCGGTGGTGGGAGAACATGTTGGTAGTCCTATGCCGGGGCCAAAGCTCCCAGCGGCTCCCTGCCAGCTGGCTGGCAGATCAGCGGGGCCGGGGTAAGCTTTGGTGACAGCCCATTGCTGTACAGCAGGAGGAAATTGAGCTATCCTACAGACATTTCCTTGCCCCCCTTTTAGTTACCCAGGGTGGGTGGAATGTGCCTAAGGAAGCAAAGGGATGTTTTCCACCTCTTCGCTGTTAATGAAGATTAGAACCTGCTGCAGAGGCATCAGCAGCCACCCAGCACAGGCACAGATAACAATCACACGGAGCAGTAGTCTTCAAGCAGCCCTACTGAGGGGGGTTTCCTCTCACCCCCTTCACTTTCCACAGATGTAGATGAATAGATAGATAGAGTACTATGCTAGTATCAAGTTCCATCATCTGTCTAGTTTCTAATAATCGAATTTTAATCTTTGGGGGCTTCTTGTGATATTTTTCCAAACTTGTGAATTCAGAGAATGCTGATTGCTCATTAAATAACCCTTCATCTGGTTTCTGCTCATTTAATTTCCACTGAAGAAATCTCAAGGGTATTCTGGTGGAGCTGAGACATTTAGCAGGTCCAAGGACACTCTAAGGCAAGACCATTAGGCATAAATGTTTAATACTGTTGACTTTCAGAGACACATACATAATAGACTTTCATGATTCAAGTGAAAAACGAATGAATTCCTCAATAATTCAGAAGGGTGACAATAAGTTCCCATCCCTAAAACAAGCAATAATTTCCTTAATGAAGCAGTAAGAATAATAAATCTCAATTATATTAACATTCTTTTATTACTAATAATTTCAGCAGTCTAATGAAAATAAGAAGCAAAAGAAATAAAGAGCTATGTAGTCTAGTTTAATGAATAGGCAGGGAAGCAGTATTTTGGGCAGTGCAGGTAGGGAAGGGTCCATATGGTATTAGTGCTCACTATGTAGTAGGTCTAACCCTGCTCAACTGAAGTTGCCAGTCACCTCAATCAGAGCAAATGTGTTGGATATGCAAAACATAGTACAAGATTTGTCTCCTTTGTCTAATTGCTCAGAAGTATATATACATGCTAAGTACTTAATATGGTTAAATATTCGAATATTGCTTCCCGGGGCAATCCTGCAAAGGTTATTTTTACAAAGCCAATTCTGCTCTGAAGCTAAACAAATCAGGGTTTGGCAAGTAGACATGGGTAAATGCACCCATCTGGACATCAACAACCACACAACAGCTTATATTTACTGTGTTTAAACCAGTTTGTCCTCAATAAAGGGAACCCCTTTCTGGAGCACCAGGGCCCACAAGACCCTGCTACCTGCCAGCATGAAAGCTCAGCGCCAAGGCGGGCGGTGCAGGCTCTGGGCACCGAGCCCACAGCCGCCAGCAGCACTAGCCGGAGCACTCGCCACCATCAGCTTCCCATGTCTTTACGCTTTACCCTGCTGGGTGTTTTGTGTGGTATATTTTAAATTTACCTACCAGCAGTTTTATCATAAAGTCTCTCACTCCTATTCCTTCCTTTCTCTTCTGGCTCCTTTCCTGCCACCGTCCTCTTTCCTTCCCACGACACTGCCTTACTCACCCTCCCCACGTTTACTGCAGTCCACAGACCTGCCAGCTTTCTCTCTGCAGCGGGCACCCGTGCCGTCACAGCACTTTAAGAAAACGGTCCCCAGCATTACAGCAGTAACAAGCTGTCTTGATCATATCAAAATATGATCTTCAATATTCATATACATGAGTATATGTATGCATGCAAGTATGTGCACTGTATGTGCATATATGCTTGATGTTCTCAGTTGGGTTTTGCCTAGTTTCAGTTCCAGCGATGCTGTTCAAATGTAATATGATTCCACTGAATTACATTACAGCTGATGTTCACAGCTGTATACAAAAGCAAGAACACAGACATTCTTGGTTTATGTTTTGACTTTTTGTCCCTCTTGCAATCTCATGGTGATGTTGCTTATAAATAGTAGATAAATACAGCTTATAAATGCTGATACCTGCTCTATGATCAAGCATTCCCTCATTCACCTGATCTTACCAGAGGTAGCAGCCAGATGGTGGCAGCACTCGTCGTTTTACCCACAGCTTGCAATAATTTTTCCAATGGGCAAAAATCTAAAAGAAATTCAGAGCAGATATCCACTCCTCAGCAGTACATCTATGCCTACACTGACTGTGGGTTTGCTTTTCTAGTTACCACTGCATTTTAAAGACCCCTTAGAAGCTGTTCACTTCAGATCTCTAGGCCAGAGACTGAAAATACCTGTATTCTACCAGCCTCGAACAAACCACCTCCTCAAAACAATGCCCCTTCCCTCAAAAGGGCTTCCGAAAAGCTGTAAGGGATACTCACGCCAAAATGCCTGAGATGTAAAGGGTTTCAGCAGACAAGTATGACAGGTAGCTGAACATGAAGACCAGCAGGGGTTCGATAGCAGAAACGTTGTGGGTGAAACGAGTCATGAGCGCTGAAACAAATCCAAAGACGATGCCAAACAGTACGCCACCCAGCCCCACCACGAAGAAGCGCGCAAAGCCAGCAAAGACATCGATGGATTCGATTTCTTCGTACCTGTGCATCTGGGTGAAGGCGATGAAGATGTTATATAAAACCTACATGTGAAAATAAGGAGACAGTGGTCAGGCGTCTTTCTGAACCTGGCAGGCTTACTCATGTCTCTGTGTCTCTGTGTGCATGTGTAAAAACAAACAAACAAACAAACAAACAAACAAATATATGCCTGAAATTGCTTTACACAGTTCAGCAAAGTAATAGTTGAAATCTCAGCTGGTTCTTAACAAGTCCTAGACTTAAGAGTCTGTTAAGTGTCCTGAAACATAGCAAAAAAAAAGAAGGGTAGATGGTTTTGTAATAAGAGTAAAACTCTGGGGGGATCAAATGTAATTGAAATAACCAAAAAATACTCATGCTTTTTTGTTTTCTGAAGGTAAACTTAATTATTGGTGTTTGTAACTGATGTTGAAAGCCCAGCTGGGTACCTTACCAACCCCAGGCTCTCCCCTCCACGTTCTGTTTCTGACTCAGGATGGGGCAGGGCAGTGACTAAGAACCATACTTTAGATTTAAATCCCATTTAGGTTATCTGTATGATCAATAGACTGGACATACTTCATTAGATGGACTCTGGAATGTTAAATGTTTTTCAATAGTACTCGATGCATAAAAATCATGAAACATCACTGGGAATGGGAAAGAAAGCAGGAGAGAAAAAGGGAAGGGAAAATGATACCCTCAGTTTCATATTGTCTCTAGCTGGATACATACAGCCTATCTATCTTCACATGTTTTGGGTTTGGTCCTCCTTCCCAGGAACTCTGTGTCAATCTCAGAGTGGGAACCAAAAGCTGTGACACTCTAAATGGCCTGAAGACCCTTCACACATATATTTTGACTAGAAAGCTTGAAATTACAAAAATAAAAAGAAAACAATGTCAGATTAGGAGAAAGATTGAATTTGCTACATTATATAATTTGATCTGTAAAGATAATTTCATTTAGTTCAGAGCAGATAAGTTTATGATATTTCTATTATCAATAATTTCTTTTCTGTAGAAATATATAATAAAAAATCTTTGGTATATTCCACTTTCACCCATCTTCTAGAAACCAATAGAAAGTTTCCACAGTAATGAGTGTTGTAGTAATAAAAAGGTCTTCGAGGTTGCTGACAGTCGATTAAGTCCAGTCAGATCTGTTTACAGGGATTGTGTAACACATGAAAGTCACCTTTCAGGTTTCAAGAGAATTTGGGGAACATCTAAAGACACAAGCTCTCCAAAGTTGTTGCACAAAAGCATTAGTTCAAAAATGCCAAACGGACCAAAATAATTTGCCTTATGTGGTTTTCTTTGGTCTTTCTTCTTCATATGGTTAATTCCAGAAGGCTATTAAGAAGATTAAAGCAGATATTTGCAGGTAGAAGATTCAAGTTTATTAGGATAATAATTATTCCCCAGCTACTATCTAATCCTAAATTGCTGTGGGGAGCATACGACCTTGAGCTGTCACACAGCCTGTTCTCCAGGAGGCTCATTGATAATATTTCTGGGGGACAGACAAAGCACAACAAAATGTTTCATGTGAGAAAATACCAAGAGCTGCTTTTTCCTGATGACTATGTATGAAATGAGGCTCTTCAGTGGCAGATAAGGAAAAGAGGGTTCATGTCACCATAGTACATAAACCTTACTGTAGTTACCATAGAGCTTTCCATTACAAAGCCTGTTTTCTCTCTATTCCCCGTTTCTTGCAGACTTTGACCTCTTCCTAAGACTTGTGATTCTTTATGAATGATACCATGGCCTGAATCTGTGATGATTTATGAATAAAGCAAATTATCCTCAGCAAATTACTTAGTAAGTTTCTCTCTTTTTCTAGTTCCTAAAGTGTCTATATGAGATAACTGAATTGGCATTAAATGGAAATTATGGAAAGATGACATAATTTCCATTTTTTTGGAACATGCTCTGTGAGAGTAAACTGCTCTGAAAAACATCCTGCACTGCATCATACACGTAAGGCTCCATGTAACTGCTGCTCAGCTAAGTTACATTGCAGTGTTTATGCCAGGAAATGGAGTACTATAATTCTTCATATGGTAGGAAAGCCTGAATCAGTTTAGGATGCCTTTGTTCACTCAAAAAGAAGGGATGGATTGATAGTTGGCCTCATTTAACAACTCTGAGAATGTCACACTTTGGGTTTTTTGGAGGGGACATTACTGCGCAGTGGTGTACCACTGGGTGGCTGTTAGAGCCAGGGAGAGGAAGAGAGAGCGTGACACTGTCGCCCACAGGGGACCTCCCCGGGGACTCGTCCCTGCTCCAGCTGACTATATGATACAAACATTGCACAATACCATTCACATCAGAAGCACTGGAAAAAAGTCTTTCAAGTGACTGCCTTAACCACCAACACAGGCAGCCTTGAAACTCTTTCTTTCCACCCTGACATTTCTTTCTGACCACATGCATTTAATTTTCCTCTAAACACAGTGGGTCAACTTCAACAGCAGGAGCAGAGGACATCTTCATCCTCCTTCCTAGCACCCATACATCCCAGTGGTCAAAGCCTTCCTTAGCGACATCAGAGAGGTAAATTCAAACTGCTCTACATACAGAGAAGAGAGGGCACCATTAGAGAAAATAGTCACTGCCACCTCATTTTGAGTACAGCATGATGTGCAGGGCTTCTCAGTGTTTCTAAAATCAAGCCTCAAAGATGAAGTAGTCAGGGGAAATATTCTGTCTCCTGGTACACACAGGTGGTCAGCTCCTGTTGAGACAGAAATGGTCTGTGCATATGCGGGAGCAGAGCTTCAGATGCCTGAAACATTTTGCAGCAAAATCAGGGTCTTCCACCTGTGTTCAGGTTTGAAGGAAATGTGCATTGGATTTACCAACATCATTTTTTTGAACAGGACTTTGAAACTCCACTAATATATGATACATGCGAGGAGCAGTCCTGTTGCTGTCTGCGATGTTCTGATGCTAACAGTCTGCTGAGAAGCAGCTGGGAAATGAAGCAATTAAAAGGAACTGGAGCCTTCTTGTTCCATCCACAGGCACAGCCCCACTGAGGAGAATGGATAAAGGTACAAATGGGTAAAAGAAGTAAATTATCCACTAAATGGGTAAAAGAGGTAAATTATCCACTTTTGTGTTAGCCAAAGGCCTAACTCCTAAATTATCACTCTAATTCCACCGTCTGTTATTTTGTGAATTTTTTTATACCAAGATACTGAACTAAATATAGGAGAGGGGGCTATTGTTACTTCAAATATAATACACAAGTTCAGCAAAATTCATACCAGTTTTTCCTGCTGGGGAAAATAATGTTCAAGCTGATAAGTAGACTGGAGAGAACCAGGAGCTATTTGTATTTAAACAATTAAAAAAAAAAAAAAGTATGCTTAATATATCTTGGTGATATTATCTTTTTAAACACATACAGTTTACTCAAACGAAACTGTTAAGAGAGAAACAGGGAGGAAAAGGTAAGATAAGACACCCGAGATAAAGAGTTTTAAAGCCTTTAAAAAAGCAAGTGCGGTATCAGGAGAAAGCCACCTATTGGGCTCCATCCAGGTAACTTATACTTCAGTCTTCTCAAACATGAAGCCAGGTAGAGATTTTGAAAACTTGAATGCTCAGAAAATGGATGAGAGGTGGGTGATGCAGAGATGCGTCAGCAGGAGCTGACAATCTGATTGCATCATAGCTGCTGTGAGAAGAGCCCCAAAGAAGAGCGCGCGTGGGACAAGGGAACTCACAGTGGTGTACTCAACACTCCTCATGTACAGCCCTTTCATCTCTTTGGCTAACACACCTAGAGCTGCTGAGGAATGCCTAAATACCACTGGTGTTAAAGGCTTTCTGTCACGACATATTGATGCTGTAACAGGATCCTGACTGAAAGCTCATGTAAATACCATCATGAGTTGGACCCACATCATAAATAACAGCTGGGAACAAAGGGAAGGCAAGGTAGAGAGCCAGTTAAAAAAAGGATGAAACAAACTCTTTCAGAGTGAAGAAGAGGTTTTACTTTTTGAAATCTGCACTTGAAGGAACCAAAAAGATAAATGGGAGTGATAGACGCATTGGGAATTTTTTTGTTACAACTATAAGACATAAGCAGTTTGCATGTAAAGTTAAGCAACATTTGTCCCTTAGTTCTACATCAGCCGTACTACATCTCTGATTCACCAGATTATGATCAACAGCCTGTGGCTGCAAGAAATTACTTCATTCCTTTTCCTTTTTCATGTTACTTATAAAGTACACTCCTCCCATGAAGCCTTTCAGCAATGAACTCTGTACAGATTTTACAAGTCCAAGTTGTGCTGTACCTGATGTATAACAGTATCTGAATAGTTTTTATGTGTTTTAGATTCCTGTGATTTAAATTCTGTAAAGATCTTATCTAGCAAAACTCCTTAACCTGCAGTTAACTTGCAGCACGTGATCAGTCCTGTTGGTTTCTGAGCAATGAATTTCCTGCTTGAAATTTCTTCCTTGAAAAACATATGTTTTCTAAGTGTTTTTGTCAATTGTGGTTTACATCTAGACTTTCAGGATGCTCCAAGTTGTAGTAGAACTAATGAGAAAAGGGGAAAAATATTAGCAAAAGGAGTTCTGTAAAAACACTCTTTTCCTATTAAAAAAAAATAAAAATCTCTCTTATTCCAGAAGCATTGTTTCTGGACACATGAGGTAAGACACTCAAGAAAGGTAAACACTTGTCAGATGTTGGGGTTTTTTTACTGATAGAAACAGGGCTCTGTAAAGTTATTAGTGGCTTTTGGAATTCCTGTTTAAGGTCTCTGGGAAACTTTCTAGAAGTTTTTTCAGAGCGTTAAAGCATGTGACAAGGGAGGGTCTCCAGTGTTGCTACCCCTGCTGCCTTCAGTCTTTAAGCAGTACAATTTTCTATTTATTTGCTTGCACAATGTCAAGAATCTTCCTAGGTCTTACAGGATCCTACCAGCAAAATCAGATGTAGCTTATCCATTCACTTCAGTGGATGCAAGAGCAAGATGTGATGTCTAATGTGTAAGTGTATGGTTCCCTCTTCCAGCAGCTCTAAACCAATATGTTTCTGAAAGAGCTAATATAAGATGCAATTTTTACGTACATTAAAATTACTTATGTGTTGCCAGTGGAGTATCCATAAAATAATTAACATATCTAGGATCTCATTAGAGCTGCTCTTGCCTTGTGCCCAATAATGCTACAAACCCCAAGAGGCCAAAGAGCGGAAGACAAGGCATGGAAAGAGACTCACCACAGTTATGCCATCATTTAGCAATGACTCCCCGAAGATCATCATGTAAAGCTGCTCATTAACGGACGCTTCTTCAAACACTACCAGAGCTGCCGCAGGATCCACAGCTGAAATCATGCTGCCAAACAGCAGGTTCTGCAGGAGGTTGAGGTCAGTCAGGCCGAAGGCTTCAATCTGGCAGACTCCGTAGAGGGAGAGGCCAATCCCAAATGAGTTTAGCAGAGATCCCAATACAGACCACCACAGGATGGACCCAAAGTTTTCAAAAAATGGACGAGTTGGCATGAAATAACCCTCCTCCAGGACAATGGGTGGAAGGAGATACAAGAAGTAAATACTTGTGTTCATCACTGGTGGAGATTTGTGATCAGAAGCAAAGATGATTGCTCCTACTAGCGCTCCAATGGCAATCAGGATGCAACTTTCGGGCATGAGTCTTGGTAATCGGTGATAGAGGTGGAAACCTTGAATAAAACATCAGGGTATTATTCAAGTTTAAATGAACCTGATGTCAGACAGATCTTTTGCCTGCCTTTGAATGCTTTGTCTTCAGATAGCCAGGTTTTGCTCTTAGGATTATGAGTGTAAAAACAGGCAGTACTGTTCCCTTCAAAATTAAACATTCCCAGACTTCTGTCACTAAAGCAGGGGAAGAGTTTGGCCATGAATCTCTTCTCTTCCTGCTCCCCAGCACTCTGTTTTTGACTAGGTGTGCCTGAGTTTAAGCTCCACTTCTAGGAATGCAGAAATCTCTTTGAAAAGGTTCTCTACAATTTGGAAAGAAAATATTCTTCAAGAATCCTTGCTGCCCAACCACTAATGCCAAACCTCTGAGGCACAGTATTGTGCCTCCATCTCAAAGAGACCCCTAAAGAGCTGAAAGAACTACCAGCAGCCATCAAATATCTGAGGAAATAATGTATTCTAAAGGATTTTTTTTCCTCACTAGAATAAAGGCTGAGCCTACACTAGCAAATTAGGCAGGCCGAAGACTTTTCCAAGCAGAAAGGTTCTGCTTGCATCCATACAGCCAAATTCTCTTCCCTACCCCAGCGAGCAGTGGTTGCATCCAAACTGCCTGTGGGAACAGACCCTGGCCCACAGTCTGCCTGGGCACTGCCTGGGAGAAGGCTCGTCGACACGGGACGGAGCTGAGAAGGAGCACACCAGCACTGGTGTGGTATGGGGTATGGACAGTCACACAGCTTCCTGACAGGGTGCTTGTTAGTTTACAAGCATAGATGTAGCCAAGCTGTTTTACAGAGAAAGGGCTACACTTGCCATATAAATGTTGTGGGTGTGAATTTCCTCCTGCCCACCTTGATGTACTACTACTGCAACTGTGTTCATGTAATTCTTCCCATTTAACAGGAATACTGATACCAATACTAAGATAATGTCTAGCAATGGCTCATCTAGTTGCTATACCAGGAACTGTGTAATCATATTGCGAATGAGAGGCGCCTCTACTAGAAATGTAAGGATTTTTTCAGAATTTACGAGAATGAGAATGAGGCAGACTAAGAAACCTATAAATCCAATGGGTGTGTCTCCATGCCTGAAGCTAGGTCAACCTTCATCACGTAACTCTAGAACCTAATGCCATGACTGCATTTCTGTGACCCTCAAATTATCAATGTTCAAAAGTAAAGGAAAAGAAAGAAAAATATTTTAATGAAATTTAAAATAATTTATAGGAGACTATTTGTTTTTACCAAAAAGTATGTTAAGCTCATAACTCCACTCATCTGGTTTTTAATTTAAAAAATCGTGTTCAAGTCTTCTGTCTGTTTTACAGAATAAGGGGATTGTTTTGCCTTTTAAGATCTCAGAAATGTTTCCTCCCTTGAAATCTTGAAATCCAGAAAGAAGAAAATACCTGAATAAACCACTGAAAAATTGTAACAGTTTGGAAATCCTCCTCCCTGGGTAACCAGATTATTCAGGCTAACTCTTTCCTCCAAGTAGATTTGAAGTCAGCAGCTCCACACTTTTCATCAAAAATAATATTATTTGAAAACCCCCAGCTAAGGAACAAGTCTGCTTGGGAAGCATCACAGCATTCTTCTAAAGTACCTATTTCTTGTTCAAAACAAGAATATTGAGTAGATGTGCCAAATGGCAAGTCCTGTACTTTTATGGATCATGAATAAATAAATTGATCAATATGCTCACTGCTAACACACTCTGCTGATGACATAACAACAAATTTGATTTGTGAAAATTTTTATTATTATTTTAGCTGTGAAGACATTTGTTTATAGGAATTGGATTGAGATCATCAGGTATTATGAAACTGGCAAATCATGGTCAGTGGTAACAATTTGTGTCAATTGTGTGACTATGACATGAAAAATGTTTATTTTCAGGCCACCTTCAGAAAAATCGTCGGTTCCACCTACCAGCCTGTTCTATAGTAATGTCTGAAAATCCCAGGAAAAGATCAAAAGGACAGGGAGATCATATGTGTGCAGCTCTTCACATTATTAACATCATCTTCATTTATTTGATATTGCTGCATTAATTCTGAATGGTCAAAATAATTTGAGCCCAGCCATGCAGATGTGTAAGACACATGGTGAACCATTTTTGCTATGTTAACTGCAGTCTCTATTTCTCCATGAGTTCATTCAGATACCTATATGGAGCTCTAATAGAAGCTAGATGTATTGGTATGTATTCCAAAGGCACCTTATATCTCTGATGACCCACACACTCTTAGACTCTCAGTCCCTCTCCTCTGGTACTACTTTCTGAGCAACTTTAAATAGCAAACATGTAAAACAAAAAGTCATAAGGACATGTTTCCTATTATTCACGCAATGGAAGAATTCTTCCCACTTTTCTCCCCCAAATTCAATACACCTGAAGTCTCAGTCTGGTGTTACTGATTTCTACAGCTGTGGCAGGCTGTAAATTCTGATACCTCATGATGTTTAAAGACTAGAAAAAGGGATGGGCAGCACTGTCTAGGGAAGCTCCATTGCTACTTATTAGCGCAGACAACCCAAGAGACATGAGAGTTGGAGGTCATATATTCGCTTAAGTAAGCTGGAAGCATTCAGAGGTGGAATTTTGTCCTTGTCATGGTAATGAACACACCTGTTCTTTTGAGAACAGAAGCTACAAAAACAATCCCAGCTACAAAAACAATCCCAGCTACAAAAATGCATGGAAGATACTTGGTTACATGGTATGTTTTTAACTTCTTGCTGAGGTAGGAGGACCCATGATCCCATTTTCTACTTACCTATTTTTGCAAGAGAGGCAAGGAGGATCCAAAGAGTAACTTCATAGGGAATTTGAACATAGTCATAGTCCACTGTGAAAACATGTAGCCTCGTATCTTGTGAAGAGCCAACAGCACCCCCATGATCAGGTTCATAGCGAAGCGAGAAACTCCTGCTCAGGTTCGGCTCGTCCACATCCTCATCAGCAGAACAGCATACCAGACTTGACACGGACAGCAACCATTTCAAAAGCTTTGCATGTGCAAGCGCAGCAGAGCCCATGTCTGGGGCTGTGACTGTTTTATGACAGATACGGCATATAGTGGGTGCATGAAGGTAGGCAACGCTTGCTCCTGTTGATTCTCGCTGCTCGCAGTCACGGCTGCTTCTTTCTCAGGGCTGCTTCATTTGCCAGTTAGAGGTCATTTTAAAAGCCCTAATGTGCCTGTCCTGTTCCTTGTGTTACAGACAGATCTGAAGTTTGTATGAAGATACCAGTTCTGCAGGTTCCTCTGACCCAGATAAATCTCGGCCACAGCATCACCCTGTTAAGACATAAAAAGCCTTTTCCAACTGGCTATTTATCCAGCCACTCTGATTTTTTTTCCCACTATCAAAAACAATAAACTGCAATGCAGACTGTTCAGGCAACAAGTCCAGCACGCGTAAATAGCATCAGGTGGAAGAGACGGTGGCACCCTGGGTGGGCAGGAGAGCCTGCTCCATACCTTCTTCTCCTGCCCTCACTCCCCGTCTGCCTCCCCAGTGTAACTGGCACCTCAGGTACCACACTTGGCACTGCTCACTGGTCCTGTCTCACTTGGTAACAAAACTACTTGGTGTGTAAATAAATGGACTCTGCAGGGCTTACAGTAGGGACATCTGGTGGAGGACCACACCAATTACATTCTCATTTAGAAATGTGTTCTCTCTCTGAAGTGCATGTCTGTAACTTAGCACATTATAACAATAGAAAGAGGAAGGTCTGAGTCACATCACGCACCTGAAACTGGATCTTGAGTCGTCTTGTATTTGATGTTTGTTTTACTCATGCCAGCAAGGTATTTACCGGACAACCACATAATCCTTCTCCAACACGACACTCACCCTCATGGAACATTTTTTAAAACGTCAGCCTCTTCTCTCCTCCACAAAAAGTACCGTATTTAGTGTTAGGATAACAAAGTGTGCAAACATGGTAGTGTTGGTTAGAAGCTGCTAAAGCTTGTATTACATACATTAGAAGTGAGTAAATTTAATTTACTGACAAATCATTCAAATTGCCTACTGATTTGGTTGCGATGGAAAACAGTGCAGATTAGTGAGAACAGAGATGTACCCCAAAATAACTAGTGCTGAAGACCCCACATCCACACTGCATGTGTTTGGGAGGGCATTCCTTCAGGCCAGCTGGTCCCACAGACTGAATGTCACTTCATGGGTGGAGAATATCTTCTGCTTGACTTCCTGTGGGAAGAGATCCAGTGTGTGCACCTGTGATGCTCTGTAGTGCAAAGCAAAAGGCAACAAGTGGTGACAAAAGGGAAATTTGCTTCAAAAATCTTATCGTGTTCTGAATTAAATCCCCAATGCAGGTGCAACCGCAGTGTCAAATTTTACTGTGGGACAGCCAGTGATGCCATTTGATGTTGTTTCTACCTGAGGCACCATCTTCTGCTTCTGCCCCACAACACCACCACCAGTCCTCTCACTGAAGACTTTGAACCCAATACAAAATTAGGTAGATAATTTAGGTAGAAAAAAGAGTTGTTCTTTTTTCAGTGTACTGGTTCTATTAACAGCAGTATTTCCTGAAGTTCCTTTCCAACAAGGAATCTGGCAGATGAGCTATTCAATTAGCATTATAAAACAAGGATTTGTTAACTTGAAGGCCAAATGAATTCAGCAGAACACCAGATTTTCTTAACACTAACCATTGCATTTCACTTAGCTACAGCCATACACACACAGACTGCAAGATGCCTTGAGAATAAGTGATACGAACCCTGGAGAGTTAGCAGCCAGAGGACTGCGAGGGAGAGACTTCAGAGTCCCTGGAAATCTACTAGCTGTGACAACCAGGACTTTGATTTACAACTGCAACACATCCATAATACCAACGGGTTCAGTAGGACCCATGAGTGACCAGCACCAGACAGGATCACCAATTTGCAGATGTCTCCGAGTGTGAAATGTTTCACAACTGGTAGGAATGCTTTCTCCCATTGCGGGAAGGATGGAGACGTCTGGGATCAGCCCTGACACAGTGCTCATTCTTTTCTTGACCCCTTCAGCATACCCAGTTGTAGCTGTCTCCCATAGTACTTCCTTGGTGCTCCTGCAGGAGGAGGTAACTCGTTTAAAGAGTTTGGATTTGTCCCACTGGACTGCACAGGAAAACTAAACTGCAAGCTTCCTCTGGAGTTCCTTTTTAAAATTTTTTTATAGAAAATAAGTATAAAAACATTCCAGAAGAAATACAGTGCAAAGAACAAAACATTCACATGTATATCTCAACATCACAGCAAATGAATATAACAAATATAATAAAAATAATAATAATAAAATAATAATTTA